TCCTATGCTTTGACCATGATGTGTCCCGTAATTTATACTCGAATAGCAATTCGGCGAATCTGGTATTGGTAAACTAGTCCACCTGATGTAGAATTGACGGCGGCGCGCTGGTCATCAAAGCAAACCTGTATTGGTCCACTAGGTCGTAAATAATTTTTTTGTATGGTACACAGGTTCACTTAGCTTTGCCGCTTTGCCAGTGTAGTGCAGAGCATTACTTGTTGGTGTAATACGTATTATTATTTATTAGTCGATATTATTATTTGTTCATATCGTAACCAGTAAAGGGCAATAGTTATTAAAATAAATGTTATATGTAATTATCTAGTAATTTAGCGTGGCTCTCTGGAGACACGTTGAAGCGGAGGATAATGAAATAACTCAGGAAAATCCCCAAATAGTGGAACCGGTTTTTATCGAAAGTATCGAAACAAACTCAAGAGTTTAAAAACAAAGATTTACACGTAAAAAGTCAACGTATTATATTAAATATATATGAATGTTTGAAAATTGAAAATAGTGAACAATGTGATAAAACTTGACAATCGTATGGTAATTATATGGTTGGAATATAGTACATCTAGACGAGACAGGACTAAATTTTTCTGGACGTCTATGGATTCCGTAGAATTTATGAGTTAAATGTTTTTATGCGGTTCCAATTGAGATCGTAACAACTATACCAATTTATCAATTTTATCGTAGTGTCCTGAGAATGTCACAGTACATACAGTGACAAAACGCTGACAATAATACAAATAAAAGCTTTGTGGTTTGTTCTAGATACGATCTAGGGTGTTATTAACCTATGGTGGGGCCTGAAGCTCTTAAAAAAAAAATTATTCCGCAATCAACGAGTTACCAATATAAGTAGTTCGATTTGAGTTTTTTTTGCGGTTTATTTTGTTTTTATACATCATCTTCAAAATTTTCGGTTTGATTTTACCAGATCTTGCTGAGGCCTCCTGATCTCGTTAGTTCCAGAGGGTATATCACCCATAGCCCACTCCCTAGATATCGGCCTGTTTACACTTAATTATTAGTTAAAATCAAAAGACAGGAAAGAAAATTTTTTCTCCATGTAATCCAAATTATTTTATCAAGAGATTTTAAACTCAAAATATGTGTCACAAAATCATGTTCAGTACCTTCTATTCTTTTGAAAATCTTAATTATTGGTAATAGAGTGTATCCTTGAATAAAGTGATGGGCTGCTGGTCATTGGATTTCAAATGAAATCGTTAAGACATCTCATTCTAAAAAATGAATAATATCTTCTCCTGTTAAGTATTAAAGATCATAAATAAAAGTTTCCCATATAACTGCATCAACCAACGCCAGTGTCAATTTTTTGCATTCCACTCTACCCTGCGGAAATCTCTTCTAGGCATCGCTCGCATAATAATCGTCGATACAAAACTCGGTGATGCGAAGGGGAGATTCTCGCAAGGGTACACGAAAACAGCACAGTCCTTTTTAATGTTTAAATACGTAATGAATCCATGCAGCCGTTTTTCTATGAGACATACATTTATGAAAACTACGGTTACTTTGATGGCAGTCCAAATAATTTGGCAGTGTCAAATGTTATCTTAAAGGTTTTGTGCCGAATTATTCAGAGACTCTTTCCAATAATATCGTGAATAATGAAGGGCTGTATTTTTTTAAAAAGTCTCTGACTAAAACACTCTTATAAGACTGCATGGATTTTGTGCCAAGCACCCCAAAAACGAACACCGCCTACGATCGGTACAGTCGGCATGTTTTCTAAAGATAATTCAACAATAACATATCGATTTCGTGAAAAAATAACTTGACACGTCATTTAGGAAAACATTTTTTTACTTATAGTATCCTTAACACTATAAAATACGATGACCGGGGTGATAAAGTGTAAGTGGCATTTTTTCCAAAAGTAGGCTGTGGTTATTTTTGGAATTCTGGCAGAGACATAGAGTGAAACACTAGTAGAATAAGATATTTGATGGGGTGTGAGAGACAGAGTCACTGCTGGCAGTGAGGATGTAAACGAAAGGAGTCAACCGATTGCTGATTACAATTAACAATTTCCTGAAAAACTTTGTACCATTATTATTTGTACACTTAGTATAGGGTGTATCATCTATCTAATATAAAAATCTGCAGATCTCTCGACGATAAATAATATATTTCTGAACAATTTACAAACAACATTCTACATCGAAAGGCCATCTGAATTAGAATCATCACAAACATGACTTTATTTATAGAATTATGGGCATTTATATATATTGCCGATATTTTATTATTACCTGATGAAATAAGGTATTGGGTTGACTCCTGAGTAAATAAATATGTGCTTTTTGGCCCAGTTCAGTTGTGGACAAAATGCAAAACCGTTATTGCTTGTTTAGAAAAAGAATGTTACTAAAATAATAAGATGAAATTAGCTTCTCGAGGTTTAAATATGATGATATACTGTTAAATAATTGAATATTTAACATTCAAAGGTATTAACTTAACTTAAATCAAGTCACACTGTAAATAATATACAGCATGATCCATTGAGAACCTCCGTAAAAAATTTTTGGAACAAATGATTCAAACCAACTTTTTATATACAGTATGTTCACGGATAGAGTTGAAAATATACAGGGTGAATTATTAAAAATATAATTAGTATTTAATTTTATCTTTAGAACTCAATATACCGTGCCAGTTTTGAAATATATAAATATTTGCTATCTTTTCCAAGATGTACGTACAGTGTGTCTACATATAGTTTTAACCATTGATATCAATGACAAAAAATGTTTATATTTAAATTTGACAATTAGGAAAACGATTCTGCTTGGTTAAAAAATAATCTGTAACTTATTCTTATTTCTGAAAAAATGAGTCCGGATATTAAGGCCTACTCAATTTTTCATAAAATATATTATCTAAAATGGCAAAATTTTAACTAAAAAATGATTGCTTATTTCTTAATTGATATAGTGCATTATTAACTTTTATGGACAAAACCAACCAACCAATATTAGTAAACTTTACGAAGTAGAAGACACCCTGTATATTAGGGTGGCCCAAAAAAAAACTAATATTCTTTTTTCGTCTCTTGTCAAAAATATGTTAGTTTATCATGCTTTAAGAGCCCCCTCAAAAAATCAGCTCTAAAAAAATTTTTTAAGAGGTCGCTCAAGATTTTAAAAAATTTCCAAAATCGTCAAAAATTTATTTTTTTTTAATTTTTGTTCTCGTTATTTTATCATTTTCTAGGTTGAAAAAAATCTCGATTCTGAAAATTTCAAATCGATATTTTAATTTCTAAAGGTCACTCATAATTATTTTAACTTTCAAAGTAATGTACCTGTTTTCGAGCGACCTCTAAAAATAAATATCAGCGAACTAATAATTTTTTTTTATTGAATTTGACGAACAAAAGAATAGAAATAAATAACGAGACACTTAAATTTAAAAAAATTTAAAAATTATAAATATTTGATACTCAGTGCGGTAGTAAATTTTGCCTCGAGAAATTTTTTGTGACCTTTAGAAATTAAAATATCAATTTGAAATTTTCAGAATCAAGGTTTTTTTCAACCTAGAAAATGATAAAATAACGAGAAAAAAAAATTCTATTTCTCTTGAGCGACCTCTAAAAAATTTTTTTTGAGCTGATTTTCTGGGGGAGCTCTTAAAACATGATAAACTAACATATTTTCATGACACGATAAAAAAAATATTCGTCACCCTACTGTATATGTTGGCTCATATGATACTATGTTTTTATATTTGAACGCAAGCGGGAATTTTTAACAAGAAATATTTTTTCAGAATTATTTAGAAATGCTGTGCCCTAAATTTTGACAAATTGAAAATTTTTTTTATATAGACGAAATATCTGTTTCCATTTAAGAATCTAGGGTTCATACGAAATGTTGGAACATGAAAAATTAACCAATTAGTGACATTGCCGATTATAACTAGCTACGTCACAATTTTACACAGGACTTAAAATTTTCACAATAAACATCCACTATGAGGGGGAACCAAAAATAATTGGACATGCCGCTCTTGTAGTTCGGGCTTCTCCCGCTAGATGGGTGTTACGTAACCTCTCCTGAATCAGTCTGCCAAGACGGGTGTAGCAAGCACCTGAGACAGCTTTCGTGCGATGACTATTTTGACTTCTTTGATTTTTTAAAACGGTTGATATTTGAGAACAGTGTGCGGCATTGAAATTTTGTTTTTTGTTTAGTAAAAGTGTATTAGACATGGTTGATATGTCCTTTCGTTCCCCATTTGTTGAATTCTGATGAAAAGGAAACATGATTTGTTGGCAAAAAACCACGACACCCACTCTACTCACCTGATCTGGCACCCTGTGATTTTTTTATTCCCTCGGATGAAATGGAGCTGAAAGAAAATCAAAGGCGGCGCTGCAAGGCATCGGGGAAAACGAGTACGAAAGGTGTTTCGTGCAGTGGAAGAAACGTTTGAACCAGTATATTAATATTAATGGAGAGTACTTCGAAGGCGACTAATGTTTGTAACCCAAAGAAATAAATTCTACATTTTTTGGTGTCCGGTTATTTCTGAATTCCCCCTCGTATTTATCATTTATAGAAACCAAATGTCAGTAATTGGCCAATATTTCATCGTCAGGCATTTTCAATACCTCATAGATTTTGGAATTAAACAGAAATTTGTGGTTTAAAGAGGGCTCTAAAGCAAATAGGCAACCAGCAACACCTTTTTATACATTTTATTACACGGTGTGTCTAAATATGAATTAATGCACAAATAACAGACTTTCCACCATTTTAACGCAAATTTTCAATAAAATGGAGTTCGCTTGAAACTCAAATTACTTTTTGTTGTAAATAAATTTGTAATTTGCATCGTAAATTACAATTTTTTTTGCACCAAAAAGTAATTTGTGTTTCAAACGAAGTCTATGTTATAGAAAATCTGCGTTAAAATGGGGGAAAGTCTGATATTTGTGCATTCATTCGTATTTAGACAAACTGTGTAATAAAATCTATACAAATGTATTGCTGGTTGTCTATTTGCTATAGAGCCCTCTTAAGTGATACAAATGAAAGCTATTTAGCCAAACTTTTAATAAACAGATGACCAACCAATTGGATTATCATAATAAAATTTATTCGATTCATGCATTCGATCAAATTTTTGAAAAAATGTCCTGGTCCACACTGTATATAAAAACTATTGGACGATACCAAATATTCTTTATATGTACGATTTGTTGTGGTTATCTTTGAGATCTTTTTTTTTTATTGTTAGGGACTAATCAAGTTGTAGTGAAAGTGAGAGTGGGATTTTGTGCACAGCTGGCCGGGCCATGTCCGTAAGGCATTAGATGGCGCGCAAAAATAACGGTGTCTGAAAAAAAATACATCTGTCTCATTTATGAAAATATGTTTTATCTACATCGATGAAAAATATGTATATACGTTATGTAATGCTTGTATATGTAGCAGCAGAAATACTAATGGCGGAAACTATATCGTATAAAAAATGAGTAGACTATGAACTACACATCAAAAGAGTTTAAACATCAATAGTTCTTAAAGGCAGGATAGTCTGTAAAGTGGTTATTATTATACGTATGTGTGACCCATGCCCAAAAATAAATGGCACACGTCAGGAAATAGCACTGTCAGAGTCGGTGTGTTTGAATCACTTCACTTCCACTGTCATTGTTAACGTTGCAAGACGCTACATCGGACGGTTGCATTTTATTCTTAATAATTTTGTATGAAGTAATTCTGCCCCCCGTATCCACTCCTAAATTGGTGCGTAAAATTCATCTAAACGAATCAATAATAATTTATTAAAAACTAAATTGCACTTTAAATTATCGATTCCAGATCATAAAATTTTCCCTTCCTGTTCAACGGTCCCTAGTTTTCGCTTGCACCTGCCCTCAGTCTGAATGATCCTTGTTTTTTTTTCGTGAAGGCACCTTGTTTTCAGTCCAGTCCAGTCTTACCAATTAAGTAAGCATTTTGCCAAGATAAAGTTTTATAAAAGTTCATAGAGGCTTATAAAATCTACGTATAGTTTGATTCTTATACGAAAATCGAACTACATAATCATCTAAATAAAAACTATTCATAATATAACATTTCTAGATGCCGTCGAGGGTTAGTAGTAAAAAAAGAATAACTTTTATATAATATTTCACAGCCAACTTTGGTGGTGCACTGTCCAACTGTCATTCTCTTTGTGTTAAGTAATCTGATTTCATGCCATATCTCTTTCTCTCTCTCTCTCACTGTATGTACAACTCATCAGAGAAATTAAAAGTTAAAAACGAACAGCGAAACAAAGGAGCACCACCCTTCCCGGGTTCTCCGGATTTTCTCGTATCCTCCTCTACTATGTCTTCAAATCGACATCCCATATCTCGGCCAGGAATGGCGGTAACTTTTTGTTCTTCAGTTTCAGGCTGAAGCACATTTCAGAGTTCTGGTTACCGAGCGTTCGGAGTTCTGTCAGTACGGACAGCAGTTTCGCAAATATAGTGCCTGGCCTGGGCTTTCTTCTGTTATCTACGTAGGCCCTCAGAGCCTCTAAATAGATCTCCTGAATTTTTTCCACCTTCCAGCCTTCTATAAGCGCTGGCCGTTCTGAAAACGAAATCATTAGGTTATAAAAAAAAAATCCAAACAATTTGTATATGACGAATCATACATGGAAACTTATTTTACTAAAAATTTTGTTTTAAAATGTTATTACGGTAATAAAAAAAATCCTAGAAATGATTCTTTTCATGGGTTTAGATTAGGGTGGCCCAAGAAAAACCAATATTTTTTTTCGTGTCTTGTGAAAAATGTTAGTTTATCATGTTTTAAGAGCCCCCTCAAAAAATCAGCTCAAAAAAAAATTTTGCTAGTCGCTCAAAATTTTTAAAAATTTTCAAAATCGTCAAAAATTGATTTTTTTTTTTAAATTTTTGTCGTTATTTTATCATTTTCTAGGTTGAAAAAATCTTGATTCTGAAAATTTCAAATCAATCTCACTTAAATTTAAAAAAATTAAAAAATTATAAATATTTGATACTCAGTGCGGTAGTAAATTTTGCCTCGAGAAATTTTTCAAGTGTCTCGTGATTTATTTCTGTTCTTTTGTTCATCAAATTCAATAAAACAAAAATATTAGTTCGTTGATATTTATTTTTAGAGGTCACTCGAAAACATTTTAGGTACACTACTTTTAAAGTTAAAATAATTATGAGTGACCTTTAGAAATTAACATATTGATTTGAAATTTTCAGAATTGAGATTTTTTTCATCCTAGAAAATCATAACGAGAAAAAAAATTAAAAAAAAAATTAAATTTTTAACGATTTTAGAAATTTTAAAAAATTTTAAGCGACCTCTAAAAAAAATTTTTTTTGAGCTGATTTTTTGAGGGGGCTCTTAAAACATGATAAACTAAAATATTTTCACAAGACACGAAAAAAATATATTGGTTTTTGTTTGGGCCACCCTAGTGTAGATAGACAGTTGACGTCCGACTTTTTGTTTTTTTTTAATAACAAAACCATATTTATATGTTTTCATAAATCTGTGTGATATTTTATAACAATTTAGTGGTCTAATATGGTATGAGGACGCCTTATGTATTGAAATACACTTCGTAACACATGAGTAATATCGAAACAAATTATCCAGAATTATCAGAGATGTACAATCGACAGCCGATTATCTTGTCAGCGAAAATGAACAAGATATAATGGAATGTTTGCCACCTTTTCAGATATTAACAGAAAATAAACTAATGTGATAAAACTTGCCCTGTTCTGTTTAATTGTACTATACGCATTTTGAACTATATCAATATCCGATATGTCAAAATATATTACAACTAAATTTAAATCCTTATGTAATTGGAAAAAGGGCAAAAATGCCTGAAAGAGTTCTAACAATTACAAAATGTCTTATTTTCTTAATAAAAAAACCTTTATTTTAATTATTATTATTAATAATAATTATTATTTTTTTAATATTATCTCATTGTTAGAGATGGACACAATAACTCGACAGGGAACGTTTTATCCAAATATGTAAAAATATACAGGGTGTTCCATTTAAATTAACAAAGTTCACATTCGCTGCCATTTTATTTGGACTATGTTTTTCACATTTTTTTATAACTTAAAACAAAAACGTTAATGGGAGGGAGAGTCAGAATCTAGTGAATCACCCTGTACAGCTGTGACGCTCTAAACTATGCCTTNTCTGTGGCACTGTTGACTGACAATACTGACATAAAAAATATTGAACATGTGCATAAACATTATCATACGTGGTCTATTCTCTGAACCAAAGTTGAATTGATCAAAAAATGGAACGATTTGTATTCGTTTTGTCAGAACTACATTGTTAGCGCATGTTTAATGGAGTGTTTGCAATAAAAGTGAATGTGAATTGTACAAACAATTTCATTAAATATATATATATATATATATATATATATTTAATGAAATTGTTTGTACAATTCACATTCACTTTTATTGCAAACACTCCATTAAACATGCGCTAACAATGTAGTTCTGACAAAACGAATACAAATCGTTCCATTTTTTGATCAATTCAACTTTGGTTCAGAGAATAGACCACGTATGATAATGTTTATGCACATGTTCAATATTTTTTATGTCAGTATTGTCAGTCAACAGTGCCACAGAATAGCCGATCTTGTTGCTATGGTCATCGGTGCAAAAAAATTGAACAGTGAGATGCAAAAGTGCCACGTTTTATACGATACCTTTTGCAGACAATACCATGACAAATATATTAAGAAAAATGCATGGAATAAAGTATACGTTGAACTAATGCGTAAGTTTTTAAGTTCATTGATGGAAATATATTTTAAAATATGTCTCTCTTTATATGTTTTAAATTAGAAAAATACAATAAACAGTCGATGCATACTATCGTTGAATTTAAAAACTCATACTAATGTAGATCCTCAATAAAATATGTCATATGGTTCCGCTCATCTAAAAACAATAAAAGAAATGGTCGGCTGCTGTCATGTGCAGCTCCAATAAGATGAAGAAGTCCATTTTATATGACTTGATGGCGAAATTCAAACTGTTTACTTACATGTACTTTAATTTTTTTGATATTTTTGGGTATTACATATTGAACCTCTTTTCTGATATGAATTTGTTTACTGAAACGAAACAGTTTAAGCACGGTGGATTCGGAGAATAGAGTTTCATGTTGATTAAACGATTAACGTTGATGTGGAATTTTCTTACCAAATATCACACTTGCTTAAATTATTGCGGTAATAATTTAAGCGCTAGTGATTTTATAAGTGACAAACTTACCTGAGAATATGACGATGGCTGTAAGTAGGGCATATTCAGCATTATCAACTTTCATAGAGTACATTGTCCTGCAGAAGTGTAGGAGATCCTCAATAGTCTCACCCATACCAGCCAGGTTGTAACTATCTCTAGAATATGGCTGATTGTTAACGAACAGGATGGAGTCTGACTGAACGTCGTATCTCCTGGCCATTCGGAACATCATAACTTCACTAGAACATGCCTGAAAAAATAATAACAGTTGTTAGTGTTAAAAATAAGGTTGTACGAGTGATTTTAAGTGCGATTTACCTTTAAGAGAGCGATTTGGTCTTCTCGTAAGAGTTTGTCAAAGCCAGGTAGCCTCTTAGCAAACTCTACTATAAGTTGTACGGTTAAAATGGTGATTTCAGTTATATGCCTAAACCGAATATCACATTGGTCTTCTCCTTCCATTGGTTGGTTCTGAAACATAAAACAAAGTATTACATCCAGTTGAAATACATCTATAAAAATCACTTACGATGATTCGTTTGACGTCTTCTTCTGAGGGATGTTCATATTCGTTTTGGAAATAGACTAATCGATGTATGAGTTCCTCCTGCTCTGGCGAGATGGGCTTGACGCCATTAGTGAGGGTCTTCTCAGAATCGGACAGCTGCAAGAAAAACATCTACATAGTATATTAATAAACAATCCTGCAAGTGCCACACTAGTCCCAAATGAAGGAAACAAAAAATAATAGAAGCTGAACTCGGCAACAACGTTTCGGTTGCTGTTTGTTCAGTTTTTATTATGTTTTCATCAACGTTTCACTTGTGATTAATGCAAAATCATCTTATTCTACGTGTACAGGTATAATCACATAACATTCTACCTCTTTTATAATTTTTGTATTTCTATCTATAAAAAATTGGGAAGACCAATGTTTCCGGAAATTTACTTCTTTCAAAACTCAAAAAAAATGCAAAAAAAACTGGATGTTGGCATTCAGAGATATGTGCAAAACCGTACTTATCTTATCAACTTCCACGTTACCTGCTACATGAGTGTTGTATAATAATGAAAAAGTAATATTAACAGTTGGTAAAAGAAAGCGCAAAAACTAACGTATAGGAGGGGAATACTGGAAGGAAGCCGAAATAGTTGAAGATAGGGAGTTGAAGTGAGAACAGTGTGCAGATAGGTAGCAAGACAATCGGCGGGCAGTGTGACAAAGTAGTGTAAAAATAAGTGTTTAACCGGTATTAATTAGCAGGTAATATCCGTTAAGTACTTTGTTGTTAATTGTTCAATGTAATCTTATGATTGTGATGGTTATAGATGTTTCATGATAATAATTCTTTGTATGTTTAGCTTCCATTGCTTTATGCTCAAGGGCATATATTGTCCTAAGGTAAAATTGTTATAATTAGTATTAACGATTACTCATTATTTATTTCAAGTTAAAATATATATATTGTGTGGGCGCCCAGACATTACAATAATGACTCTTTTGTTTCACATCTAACTTGTTTTTGTCATGATTACGTTGTTCGTAAAATATAGATGTTTCATGATAATAATTCTTTGTATGTTTAGCTTCCATTGCTTTATGCTCAAGGGCATATATTTTTCTAAGGTAAAATTGTTATAATTATTATTAACGATTGCTCATTATTTATTTCAAGTTAAAATATATATTGTCGTGACTGCCCAGATATTGCAATAGCAACTACTTTGTTTCACATCTAAGTTGTTTTATCATGACCACGTTGTTCTTTGATTTCTTGTGCTCACTTTATGTCATACGTCTATACGAGCCTTGTTGAGTTTACTAACATTTTCGCCCGTGCGGAACGAATCTGGATTAAGCTCGATTGCCTCCCGTATGGGACTCCAGTGTTATGAAGGATCTTTCGAAATCTCAACTATAGCTGGATTGCCTCCCGTATGGGACTCCAGTACCTTCCGGCTCTGCCGGCTAATTAACACCAAACCTCTTCAGTTTTACTTGGAAGTGTGTATGACTAATATGAGGTAACCGATGACATTTAGTGACGCATTAAATGAGACAGGTCTTATTTATCATTAGCAAAGGATCTTAATTTATGCCTTTGGTTAGCGGTTGTTTTGCATTTATATTTGGGTGGTAAGAGCAACGATCGTGGGTTTCTCTGCCATGCTCTTTCCCCGCAGGAGCTCTAGGTGAGCCTGGCACTCTCATTCTATGTTAAATGACTGTTAATGTTTTTGTTGTTCTTTCTATTTGTCACATGTTTAATTTGAAGACTGTTGTATGTAAATAATAAAGTTAGGTGTATTTACTTTGTCCTTGTTTTATAAAATTAAACCATACATTACTTCAAAAAAAGTTAGTAGCCAGCGCCTTCCGGTCAATAAAAAAATAGATACACACAACGTAGGTATTTCTTATGACGATCACATATTTTTTGCCACAACTATGTTTATATTATTTTTTTTTATCAAACCTAGGGTTGTTATACTACAGATACAAACCAAAAGTACACACTGTATTTTTATCGTTTTTTAAATTTATCTTTTTTTTATTATAACTTATAATGTCATATATAGATATACGTTGACACTGCACAATATTCTGGTTTATCTACTTTTTGACTGTATAATATATATTTAGTCTAGAAGTCCATGAAGTGAGTGCATATTTATGTAACCTTCAATTGTTTTTTATGCATTTCTTTCAAATCACAAAAAAAATTCCGAAACCGGTCTTTACCATTTTTTCTAGATAAAAATGCTAAAAAATAAGGAAGATAAAATGTGAATATCCCTGTACAAAACACTAAGTCATAACAATGGATATTCCACAGGGTATTGTTTTATATCTATTGTTTTGTAAATATGTAATGTAACTAAATCATGAGTCGATTTCGTATGAGGATTTTATAAATTATTAACAATAGTTACCTCTGGTTCTAATTTGATCATTTCCGGAGATCCGTTCGTGGTACTGTTGGGCTTGTCCTTCTCCTTCTGGGCTTTCTTCTCTTTCCGTTTCACAGCACACTGTACCTCTGGAACCACACACTCCGGCCTCATTCCGACACTCAAACACTTCTTCAAACGGCACTCCTGGCATTTCCGCCTCATGTACATGTCTATCTCGCAATTGTTTCCATATTTGCATTGGTAGACGGCATTTTTTGTAATACTTCTCCTGAAGAAACCTGCAAATAGCGATATTGGAAGTGATGAAACTGACGAAATAGCGTGCATAAACATTGTACATAGAAGGGTAGGCAAGTCGGCATACGCGGATATACTGTTTTGATTTGATTAATTTTTTTTTATTATAAAGTTCTATGAAGTTTAAAAAGTGAATTCAAAATTACTCAGAAGACCTATTTTAAAAATTTGCATGTGTTTAAAGAAGTAAATTCTTCATTAAAATGTCCTGCTCGCACATTTTTTTGAAATATTATTACTACACGACTTTAAATGTTAAAAATGTCCACAGTTCAAATAAATCTTAATTATTTAAGGAATACGTTGAGATCACATGAAGACTTGCGATAAATAAACAATTTTTTTCCCTTATTGAAGCAATAAAACACGAAATTCTATGTAGAACAGCTAATAAAATTCATAGATGGAGATGATAAATCAAAAACTAGTAGGCAGGCATATGGTATGGTGAGTAGGTTGTGTTAAGTGACGTAACGAGACAAATACGTAGTCTTCTTATAGTGGTTTCGACACTAGCGTTTACAAACTCAGATCTCGTTCAGCGGGTTTTTGTTGGTTTTTTGCACGATAGCTGAAAGCCCGGATTAATAACTACGGTGAACGTTAATTGGTGTAGACTTTTTTTCAGTCTAAGGATTTATACAATTACTTAGTTTAATATGTATGAGACTGGTAGAGTCGAAGCATGTTTCATGTCATATGTCATCGCCAAAATGCGAATTCACAAAAAAAAATTAAATTGTAAATGAGCAGGGTATACAGGGTATAAATGACGTTGCGACAAACTTTATCTAAAAAATTAAAGAAAAAGCAGTTCCTAAGAATTCTACGACTTTGTACAAAATGTATATAGAAAAAATCAAATTAAAAGTAAATATAGTATTTTGTATAGTTAATTTACTAAAAGTATTAATTAAATAGACTACATTTAAAAGAAAAACACCGTCCGTAAAAATAACAAATCGACAAACACCTCAACCCAATGTTGACAGCTATACTATAATAATAATAATAATAATAATAATAATAATAATAATAATAATAATTTACCCTAGTTAGATTATACAAAGAACCCTAAATCGGCTAACTATCCAAGCTTCAGACTATAGTAGGATCATATTCGATGCAAAGTAATAAATCATTGCCTGTCAAGGGAATCAGTGCAACACATTTTATACGGGGTTTTGGAAATTGAATAATTTCTTTATGCATTATGAATTAATAGTATATATTTATGAAAAACAAAATGAAGAACAAAGGCATCTCCTTCGCACATTGGGCGGCAGGGCAACAATACATTTATTACTTCTTTCATCCTCCCTCACATGACTTGTGTCTTGTGGTTGTTGCCGCGGTGCGCGTGCCGACCCGGCGTGGTCAGTTTCGTTTCGGTTGTATTGGTGCTGCGTGTTTCTCGCTCGCGATATTTGTGAGGCTATAATTGTTATATGTGCAATTATATTTCGTTCAAACAAAAGTGTTTTTAGTGTTTTATTTGTGTGCTGTGAGTGTGTTTCGGGCAGTTGTTTGTGAATCGTGAATGCTATTATATTTTCTGTGCTAGTGAAGTGAAGTTTTTTGTATTATTATTGCTCTGTTGTCGTTATATGGAGAAATGGAGGCGGTGTCTGGATGTTCGCGAGCCGGATGTACTGCTGTGGGTACAAAAAAATATGTATTAAGTTACAGAGAAAAAACGATAATATTAAATGTCTATAACCCTTTAGAAAAGGATCATCCCATGAAACTGAAGACTGGTTTGGTGGAAATGAGTTCTAGATATACTGGAGTAAGCGAATTATCTGTTTTCAAAATTTTAAGAGAGAAGAAAAATGGAGACGTTAAGAAACCTAAAAAAGGGGGTGGAAAGAAGAAATTAATATTAAATGAAGTTGAGAAAAATGCAGTTTGGCGTACAGTACATAAATCATAGAATTTATATTTTGTTTATAATTTGTTAACATTTCTTGTTTGATAGAAAAATAACTTATTTTGTTGATATTGGTAGAGAATTGTTGTTAGTGTTTTCATTTGATAGAATCATATCATAGGATTTATATTTTGTTTTCATTCTGTAAATATTTATAGTATATCTGTTATACAAGGTTTTTGCTTTGAAACTTCGTTCTCCTTATAAAAAAAAAAATCGTAATGGGGTGCGATGAAGAGATCAGTTCACGTCTGGAACCCTGTTCCTACAAAAATCCCTTTATTCTCATAAACTATTTGTTTTAAATGTAATTTATTATAAATCCAATTCGTTATTTAAATTCCACATATGTACTACATTTCACCTCTGTACGCGCCACTGTTTATTGTTCCCTGCTCTACGATCAAGCTCGCCAGGTTAGTATTTGACGTATAACCGACCACTTCGTACACTCGATGCACCTGGCCGACTACAGCTAGTACCAGAACACAGTGCGTATGCGGCGGTATTTCAGATTTTACATTCAATTTCATTTTAAATGTGAAACGGTTCATCTTACGCCTCCTAAAAATGATGACACGATTTTCTTTTGATAAAAGACCGACAATTTTTTGCTCTACTATGCATCGAATACGATCCTACTATAGATTGTTGTAAAATTCGAAAATGACATAAAACATAAACAATTTTTGTTTATTTACAACTTCATCAAATAAAAATTTAGTTAAACACTTTTTATTAACAAAAATTAGGCACTTTCAAGACTGGTTTACACTACAAATACAAATTTCTAGAGTTTGTCGGGAATACACGGTTTTTAACAGAACTGGACTTCAATTTTTTAATCAGAAAAACAATTTAGCATCACATTCCATATATTGACACTCGTGTTTTTTCCCAAGGAACACCCTTTGTATTATTGTATTTTTGGCTCCCTTAGTTTTTTCAAATTTTATCAATATAAACCTGTACGCCATTATCTTTTGTCGTTTGCAGGATATTAACAATTAAATAATTAAATCTGTTCCGTTCATGTTGAAAGCAATTTATCACTTCTTTATATATTAATTACTAATACTTATAATAATTATAGTTACATTTAATAAAAATTGTATAAATAGGCTTCCTCGTTTTTCACCGTCTAAACGAGATTGTCTTTGTTTTTTTTTCAAATTATTAAACAACTTCTAGCTAGCTAATTCGGGATATTGATTAATGTCATCAACTGCGTTCTAAATTATATGTTAAATGTCTAAAATAGTCGCAGGTCGATTCATATAGGCGTTGTCTTTTAAATATCCCCGTAAAAATGTATCCGGCGGTGTCAGATCAGGACTGTTTGTTGGCCATCGAATAGTCCCATATTCTCCTAACCATTGCCAGTTTAATTATTCAGTAACTTCTTTTACATTATGGGACGCAATATCTCTGGAACCTGATGCTCGATTGTTCTCCTGATTAAAAATTTGTCATTAAAGCAAATCTTGCTTTTTCGAAAACTTCAAAGGTAAGAAAGTTAACATTTTTGCGTGATGACTCTTGTGTATATGTAAATGGGCGGATTCTTATAAAATTAATACCTCTGTAAATATTTATAATTATAAAAAATGACTCGCTAACCTCATTTACATCGCGAATTATATTACTTTATTACAATATATGTAGGTACACAGTTAAGATTTACACTGTTTGAAAATTTTATATCTTTTTCAGAAACTGTATTTCACATATTACCTTTAAGCACAACCCTTTTCAATCACGATTATTTTTTTCTTATTGAAAATAAGAAATTTCGGAATTGTTTCATTCTGCTTTCCGAAAAGTAAGCATGTAACCCTCTCCCCTAAATATATGGCAAAAAAGGGTCGGTAGCTTTAATATTTACAGCAACAACTAATTTTTAGTTCATGATATATTTAAAATTATCTAGCATGTGTGACGTCACACCACTCGACTGGCTCAATCCGATGACCCAATGCGCTACTAACTAATGTCTATTTGTGGTATAATTTTAGTTTTTGTTCGTATTTATTAGTACTTTCAAAATTTCAAAGAATAATTATTGTTCAAAATAATCAAAACTTAAAGTATATGACGTTTTTTTTTATAATTAAGACAATGGCAATACTATTTTTATTCTAAGTAAAAGAAGAATGCCACAGAATTTCTACGCCACTGGTGATAATGGGAATATTTAAACATACTGAATAGACTATGAAGGAAGTGTTTCCAAGTATATAAAAAATATAAAAATTTCAAAATCTTTGACACCTTGTATCTGATATATCTAGATATATTTGAGTAAATCTAATTTATTTTAACTTTACAATCAGCCCTTGCAAGGATGCCAGTAATACCTATACACCCTGTATAAGTTTAAAAATTACTCTTTTCGTCTGGTGCAAAAATGAAATCTGTGGACTTAATAGAAACTAAACTACAGGATTAAATCATTTATCTCGAGTTATAAACTAGTGCAAGAACGGAACAAGTCACTTATGTCGTTCTGGCACCCCATCTTGCATTGGTTTTTTCGTGCATGGAAAAACGTTTTGAATGTTATTCATTCCTTATCATTCTTATTCACCTATTCTTCCTTATTCTGGGGTAAATTTAAAACTAAAAAAATAAACAAAACATTTACATATCCCATTCTTGCATCATAAAAAATGGATCATGAATGATTTTTTGGACATATCATTATTTATGGGAATATTTCATTTAATGTTATAGGTATGCAAATGTTGTACTTATTTCCCTTACTTCTCCTAAACAATTTACATATTGGCGCTCATTCCCTTCTTACACCAGGGTCTACAATTAATTATAGTTAAAATTAAAACAAATTGTCTACCTCTCGCGTTGAATGCGGTCAATTCCAAAAAAGTGACGCAGGGTCTTCTTGCAATTCAATCTCAACAAATATCGTATGGACCCAGTAAAGTATGTAACGAGTGGTATGACGTCACACCGTGGCTTCCGTGCGTTTTCCCGCGTTGCGTTTTCATTATTTTGAGGGAGAAATTGTGAAAACAAATTCAGATTTTTTTGCACATCCAACTAACAATGATGTAGGTATAATTTCTGAATATGAAAAGAAGCTGGTAAATGAGCCTACGATAAAAGCATACGATCTGATAATCTCGCAGTGAAGTTTCAAACACTAACTTTCTCATCAATTATTATTATTCTCATCATGTTCTTGAAAAGTTTCTACAACTTATCCTTCACGTCTCCCAAACACGTATAAAGAAGTACCTATCTAGCTCGCTTCCGTACAAGTAGCGTCTGCGGTTGCGGGTAGCAACTCATCACCGGGATAGTTTAACGGTTCGAGAGTAATAACTATCGAGGTCCATAATTACCTTTACATCCTTCGCAAGTCAGAGCGTTGTAGTGGTACCCAGATGCCCTGTCGCCGCACACCAGACACAGCTCTTCCTGTTGCCGAGGTGTGGGCCCCTTTTTCTTCTTCGCATCGCAACTGTCCGCGCTGTATCCGTTCAGACTGCTGGGGGGAGACAGATCTTCGCGTCCTGCAACAGAAAAAGGATAATTAACTATGCTGTTTCCAAGATAACTACATTTTTTAATTATTACTATGAAATGGGTGTAACTGTACATTACATACATTACGCGTTTGTGTATAACTATTATTCTTGTATCTGTTTTTATTATATTTGATGTTAATATGCAAATGTAGTAGTGAAACAGAATATTCAGAAGGACATTTTGTAATTTTAAAGATTTTTAAAGAAATCATTAATTAATTTATTTAGAAAAGGTACGGAAACATAGAAAAAGGTAAAAGGTACATTATTGTTCTAGATTTGAAACAACCAGAACATACCTAATCAACGTAGTTTTGTACAAAGTAAATACAAAAATTAATTCAGTATTTCAGTAAAGAAATAATATGTTTTTATTACGTGAATATTCTTTTACATCAACGGGGCAGTTAAAAATGCGGGTACCAAATGCTTTCACGTGATATTTCTACAGGAGAAATACGTAATTTTCTCAAAACTGCTTTGAAACATACATGGTGATTCAGTCATAATGTCATTAATTTTAAGGGAAGATGGGGAAAAATTATTAGAATACCTACAAAGGTCTATCGAGAGTGAATCTTGATCCACAGAATTCGGTCACTAACCTAGCTTTTACTGTGTTTTTAATCTGTAGTGAACGACAAAACTTAACGTTTTCACTATATTTTATAACTGAATATGAGTTTTTAGTATTATCTTAGTTAATTATTCAATTTGTAGTACGTAGTGACTTATTGCTTTTCAAAGAGTAGTAGCTATTTAAAGTTCCAGGATAAAAGAAAACACATCCGTTCATAGCACTTTATCAATAATAAGTTCGGCTGCATTTTGATTTTGAAACCAATTGAAAAATTCGAGACGACTGAGGAAATCAGCTGTTTCTCTTCAATGTTGAAAGGCACTGTAGTCTGCCGGCCGGCACGTTCCCTGTTGCGAAGTAGAGTTCAAAGTTAACGGGAGTTAAGGGGTAATTTGCAAATTTTTTAAAAGGTCAAGTAATTTTTTTTTTTTGATTTTCTATCTTTTTTAGGTCATCCGAATACGTGGTTAAAATTAATAACATCATCACCCTGTAGAAACTATCTAATTATAAGAAACACAATTTTAGTTTTAAATACAGTGTGTTGTGATCTCAATTATGACAGTAACGTCCGTTGTCACATTTTTCGCGCGAATTTTTATATGCAGTTTTATAAAGATAATTTCCAGAAAAAAAACATAAGTATTAGTACTACTTTCTGTTGTATCTTATGTGACAAAATAAGGTTTTAGTAAATTATCCTTGTAAATAAATATAATAATGATCAGTAAGTAAATACTATTTTTTTTAGAACTAATTTATCAAAATTGCCCAGGAAATTAAAAAAGTGGAATTGGATCTACATTACTGGAAATATTGCTTGTTTTCATTTAAACAATTTTCAATACATTGCAGGAAAAGTGTAAAATTACAAGTTTTACGTTACTTTTATAAGTTACTTTTACTTTTAAGTTTTTATGATTATACTTCATTTTTTAAAATTATTTTGTTATAAATGTGAAATGAGTTATATGTACAGTTTATTATTTCCAAAATTACACTTGTTAACTAAACAGAACAAATCAACACTTCAATTGTTCATTGTAGGTATTGTTAAATCACGCTAAGATTTATTTTAATTTTAATTTAAAATTGCTCAAAAAAAATCTCTTAACTTCTGGTACAGATTATAAAGACAATAATTTTATATTTATTTTCGGTGATAATTCTTTATTTTATAGCACGCTTTGGTTTGTAACACTACGCGTTTCGTTTGCTACACCCAGATTTTCACTTTGCGTGAGATAAGTAGAGCAAACAATTTATGTTTATTAAGTATGTAAATTTAGAAATTATTTCACTAGACTAGGTACGCTTCGTTTAAGAGAAACAGAATCTCCTTTAATACAGTGTGTTCAATTTCAATATTTAACAAGCAGAATTTTACGAACTATGTATTATTTTTATTCGGTCGCTGTAGTGTAATTTTTGTAATTTACATTGTACAGGGTGGTGCTTAAAAACTAAGTCGCATGCTCTTCATATTCCATTTGAGAATAAAGAGAAACATTCATACGAAGATAAGTCTGGAAATCTCTGATTCTAAGATGGTATGTACGTTTAACAAAAGCCGGGACGCGTGGTAATTTATTTATTAGTTCTCGTAACGGATGGACCAAAAAGTCAAATATTTCAGTCAACACTAATTTATCGAAAAGTTAAGGGATTTCAAGTAGGTTTAGCGTCGCAACAAGGCCGTCCTTCGGAGACTGTCGGGGCCATGTGTTGAGCATCTGGTATAAAGAGAAAAATCGATATTTCAAATAACGCGCGAAATGCATTCCAAAGAACGTAGGAATTCCAAGAATAAGTTGTTAGAAAAATAATAATAAAAAAAAACATAAAACACACCACAGAAATGGGACAACCCCCAAATCCAAAGCCAAAGGCTGTGCGGAAGGGGGCTACACTTGAAAAAACGCGGACAAACACCCATTATCCATCGACATTGCCAGTGCCGAAATGCTTGCCACCGCACTCTCGACCGACTGCGCTACCGTGGCGATAATAGATCAAATAGCTGGTTTTTAGGCGGATTTTCCAAGTTATAAGAATAGATTAAATGAGATTGACTAATCCGTCATGATGAGAGAAACATTCTAGAATTTGTGTCCAATGACAACATAAAGTTCCAAATATCTGCCGTGTCAGATTGTCATCGTGTGGACCCGGCTACTATAGTTAGAATCACGCCGCTGATCTATTTTTTGATCCGATTCTGTATTTGCCACAGATATAAGAAAAAAATATGCGATGCTTCATTGAAATTGAGGCTGCGTCCTTGTTCCTATTTATTCCCCATATTTTTAGAAATACGATGTATTTGAAAAAGCCAATAGCAACGTTAAAGCTCATTTCAATGCTTGCCAATCCCAGTCAAATAGTTTATTTATTTATTTATTTATTTAATTTAAATAACGGGAAAAATTACACATAAATCATGAAATATTGGTAGAAAAATACAAACAATTAATGTTAAAAATATATACAATTATCAATGAACAAAAAACAACACCTGGATATAAATAAAGGTAAATAAAAAAAATTACCAGAAGATCTCAACTTTGGGAGCATATAAATCTTTTTATATCTACCAAGAAGAATTTAATATACTTATTAAAATTTTTGTAATGTAGGTACCTTTCTGGATTTTTTCTTGTTCAAAAAATTATATGTGTACATAAGAAAATACGGTTTTTATACCATGAAAAAATAGAACTATTAAATTATTTGAAGAAGAAAATAAACTCCAAGACAATTACTGATTCCAAAAAAACAAGGAGTAATGTAATTATTAACGAGCTCTATGAAGTTATTTCTCTAGCATAATTTTAGGTAAATTTGTAGAATTAATTTGTAAGTAGTTTAACACCTTTGAAGTAACGTAAAATTAAACCAAAGATAAAATAAATGAAGGTCATTTTTACTCTATCCTAAATAAACCGTCAATGTGAAACATTCGGTTTTACATAATTAGGGATCATTTTTTAAATAACTGTTTCAAAATTCTCTGTGGATAACTGGATTTTGAAAATAATCATTTGAAGATATAAAAGTTTTTTTTAATGACTAAAATATTCTTGTATACATATGTGCAAATTTTCTATTTGTTTTGCTTTTTGCGAATTTACACTGCTCCTCAACGAACATTAGACTTTTTCAAATGCACATCAGTTTACTTGTGTAAGATCTGATTGTTTGTCTTTCTAGACAATTAAAAACATCGCAAGTAAAATGTGGAAACAAAAATATGTCTTTGTAGCAGCTATTTTCTACTTGATTAATCTGTCAAAAGTGACAGCAAAAATATAGGATGTTTGTTTGAATGAGTGCATTTATTCAAGAATTTCAATATGTTAGGTGCGTGTTTTGTATTAATTATATATGTACATATCATTTTTTAGTACCTATTTATTTTGGATAATTATGTATTATATAGCGTGGTGTAATTCAATATCAGTTGGAAAATGCGACCCATAGAGTTGTTTCCCACAATACCACAGGAGTCTTGTCTTTAAGGTAAAAAAGAGTAAAAACATGGGAGAGCTTATAACAGAATATACGTTTTTTGAAAAAAAAAACACTTCATAAAGAATTCCAAGAAAATCTGATTACAGTGAAAAAAAAGTTAGGTAACTGGAATTTAGTTCATAAAGGAATCCAAGAGAATTACGATTTAACGATTTTACCAGTTGTGACCAGAATGTACTAAAAATTTAAAGCCAATTCAATTCTTACCATTTCTTCATGAATTTATTGTCATTGTCAACAGATTGAGCACAATCTTGCACATGTTTCTTTGACTGTGTAATCCTGCTGAGTTGTAAGGTACGAAGAGTGGCAACACTCTTGAAATCCTTACTGTCGTTTCTTGTACGCTGTATATGGAAGAGGCTAGAGATCCGAGATATTATTGCGGAGTAGGTACGTGGGTACTGTGCTACGGTGCGGAACGTTCAAGGACAACCGACAACGAGATTCCTCTCCGGATCACAATGAGGCAGGCATTCGCGTGACTTTTATTGCATTACGACACAACGGCGCACGGACAAATCTAATTTATGGCCCCGATCGCGCGGCCATTAATCGAGCGTCGATTTTCGGGAAGTTTTGACCTCAAATCTTTCGGTAAATATTTACTTGGCAAACTTTCCAAGGTAACTTTAATAGGGATATTATTAACGTGTTTGCAACAAAATAACCTACTGGCACCATGATTCACGGCACATTTTGTAACGTCGTACCAAGTTCATGCATGTACAGGGTGTACCCTAAATAGTGGTACAGTACTGATAGATTTTTGCGAGAAAATCAGGAATAAAAAGTATGATTTAAAATAAATATGCCTGACTTTTTTTATAAAAACATGTTGAGAACCGCTCTTTATTGCCATTTATTGCCTTTA